TTATTATATTTATTTTTTCATAATTTACAAATTACATAAATTTATTTTTTTAAAATAAAAATAAAATAAATAAAAAAAAAATAAAAATAAATAAATAAATAAAAATTTATTTAGTATTCACTGGAGGTGATATTCACCAGAGGTGAAATTCACCACGATGTGTTTTTAGTTATTACTATATGATCTATAAAAAATTTTATCTCAAATTTTAAGCTAAAATTGTCAAAAAAAAAATAAAATAAAATAATAATAATAATAATAATAATAATAAAACCTCAAATTCGTTCTACCCCTACTTACAGAAAGACCTACATTGCTTTGGTCAAGAAGCATATACCGTGGACTCCATTGTGGTGCAAATTTTTTTCGAATAATCTTTAATACTGATGCAACAGTCTCACTGTTTTCTCTATTAACAAAGAAGTATATACCGACATTTCAACAGCCATAGCCATCGCGGATGTATAAAGTAAATAAATGCTATCCATGCTTATTAGTATTATGCGTAGAATCTATTAGCATTAACCAACCATAATGCGTTAGATTTTCTATTTGCCACAGATTTGCAAAGTATAAACCTTGCAAACACTCAAATGATTCTTGCTTTTGAAAAGACTCAACTTGATAATTATTTTTTATTAAAAATTCGATTGTTATTAAAATATCAAATTTTAAATTTACATATCCAACAAGATGCGAATTCATCGGACCAACAAGCTTCTGCTTGATATTAGTGACCTCCTTAGTTTTTAAATATTCTATGCCCGAGTCATCATACACTTTAGAAACTTCTTTCCTAATAACATTCGCAATCGTTGGGGGTTTGTAATCCTTGATTGCCTCGTTGCCCACAATATCTCTAATAAATTTTAATTGTTTTTGCATATCATTTTCTTCTATCGAATGGCTGTGATTAGGGGTGCTATTCACCTATAAACAATTTTTTTTTTATTGTTTATTAAAATACTACATTACAATGTTTTAAAGCATGTTATCTTTATTCTTACCTTTTTAATTCTAACCATATTCGATGCCACTAACCATGTTATTCTAATTCTTGCTTCACAATTAATAGCGGGTCTTTTCCAGATTATATGATGCTTTTTAGGAGGAGATTTTCTTTTCTTCCGCTTGATTCTTTGGGCTTTGAAAGTCTACAAATGAAAGTTTTATATTCATCACCATTATCCAATATATAACCATTGAATTTTGTCCAAAAGTTATTAACAAACGCCCACTGCTCATTAAAGTCCTTAGTAGAAAGTTCAAATGTTTCATTCACATTAAAAAACGTTCTTGGATGGTTGACATTGCTGTAGTATGACCGTGCCATTATAATTGACTAAAGCTTGTCGTTTTTTTTTTTTTTTTTTTATATATATTTGTTATTTTTTTTATAATCAGTTATTTGTTGAAAAACTGTATGCTTGCTTGCTGTTTGCCATGGGGTTTTTATTCAACCTGAAGCTTCTCATTTGCTTGTTGTTTGCCGTGGGGTTTTTGTTATAAATA